CAGCAGGAAGGATTCAGAAAAACTCAGATTGAAAACCTAGACTCTTCCCCATGAATTCTCTCAGTTAATCTGGTTACACTGCCTGAACCTTCACGTGCAGATCAAAGCAACAGCAGCCTTCTACACAAGAAGAAAAATGCTGAAGCTTGCTTGAAATATTAAAGCGTGTAAACCACACAAGCGCTGCAGTCACCTTGCAACTTGCCCACAAAAAGTAAGGTAGAAGGAACGTCAAGGACGTTACCTGTACGTTAGGGCAGTGGTCACTATCTAATCAGCAGGGGGAAAAGTTGATCCTTACATCAAGGTTAACTGCTCTGCCTAACTTATGCATATGAAAGCAGAACAACTTGACAGTGTTTCTGTTGTTATACATGCAACGCGCACACACAATCACCATTCAAAAAGAAATGAGATGCGGGTTCCCAGCCCTACAGCCGCAGAGAGTAAGAGCTATGTCGCTTCTGTGGCAACACATTAAAAATACTAAAACCAAGCTCACGTGCAGAAGTATCAAAGCATCTTCCCCTGAGTATTTCAATGCTCCCAGTTGTCTTCAGAATTGTTTTGATGTCTGAACCTTTGTACACAAGTGCTTTTAAATAGTTTTTTTTTTAAAGCAAACAAACAAAACCCCCACAAAAACCTAAACAGACCCAAGAAACAAAACCACAAACCTCAACAAAAAAGCCACCACACGAAAAAGCCCCAGAGAGGATACCAAACCAAGTAAAACAATTACTGAGGCTCTACAAAGTTCAAAACACAGAGGGCAAAGATACAAACTTACCTGCTTCTGTGATGCTGGTAACTCCCTCCAAGCACCTGCTATTTTTTTAACCAGCTCCATGCTGCTCATTTCTGTACATTAGAATTGGAAAGCAAGAAAATAAAGATCAATATTGTACCTTTAGCAAGCTGCTTCGATTTTTCCCAAGGAAAGCTGTCACTAGCATCTTTTCCCTGTACAAATATTTTCCTCCTTTCATAAAACTAACCAACTTACTGTGGCCGTTAAAGGAAACTGTAATACTGGGGGGAGACGAGTCCCTGTTCTTGGTCCAAACTCAAATGAAACGTGCCGTTATAAACTGAAGCATCATTTCAAGACAGACAGCTATTTCCACTCCACAAGTTTCTTCCAACGCAAGATGGGCTGAACGTGGAGGAAGGCTGCGGCACAACCCAAAAGTCAAATTTCTACTTCTCAGTGTTTGGCAAAAAGAGCGCTGGATTCTTCAAAATAAATACAATGTGACCGTATCGACCCGATGCAGCAGGCAGGTTTGATCTTTGTTAAACTAAAGGCCTTTATTTACAATATTATTCAACAGAAGAAAGATAGATCTTCCTCCCTCCCATCTCAATTGCAAAGTTCAGCCATCTCAACAGCGGAAAAGCAGAACTAAGCTCCTATCAGTAACCCGACTTCCAGAATTCTGGGAAAACAAGACCGATGGGCAGTTTTTAGGCCAAGTATACCAAGCTTCAAACCTTTAAAAAGACAATGATTTGACAGTGATTAAAGAAAAAAAAACCAAAACCAGCCCATTTTTTAGTATTACCTCCCTTGGAATAAGAAAGCCCAAAATTCTCAATTTGCACATGAGACACAGTACATTCATTTGCAGATTATTCAAATTTTGGAAACATGTGGAAAACACTGGTGTGGCTCATAACTACAATAAACTCTGCAAGTTCAGTGTCTCAGCCCTCCAGACAGTTGAACTGCTGAGCAAAACAGGGTATCCAGAGGTTTTCCATACTTAAATTCACCTCATGACTTGCCCAACATGACCACAGATCTTTAAACACTGTAACATTCAACAGCACTTTCAAAATCAGCACAGCTTTCCATTCTGCTCTGATAAGCAGAGTGATTGTGTTACCTATAAATGAATCTTCTGATAACAAATTAAGCATTCACAGAAGACCATTTTCCCCTAAATGTATTTACTTTTTCCTCCCATATACATTGAAGCAATCCAGTACATGTAGTTTTTAAATTACTAAGCTCATTATATCAACAACAGTGTACTTCAAATACACAGAGATTTAAAAAATAACTGAAAGCCACGAATAATTGTTAAAACGTATTGTCTGGCTAAAAGCCTTCTTCAAAAATTTCTGAAGTTACACACAAATCTTAACTTTTTTTTTGAGGCATTAATTATAAAAGACTAGGATAATACAAGTACAGGCAGTAAGTATGGCAACAGTGAGTTTACTTGTGGTATGCTATGGATAAGAAGATGGTTTTGGCCTCCTGAAATCAGGGTAATGTACTTTGGTTACTTTATGATGTTTAGTTTATTCCAGCTTTCTTTTAAAAATCACACGATCTGGAGGGAAACACCGAATGTACCTGAAGTGACAGCAGCCTTGTTGTAAGGGGCCTCAAACAAGAGCTCAATCAAGGACACGATTTTTCACAGAATCACAGAACCGCTCGGTTGGAAAAGCCCTCTGAGATCATCACGTCCAACCGTTCCTGTCTACCCCCTAAACCACATCCTTAAGTACCTCATCTACCCGCTCTTTAAACACATCCAGGGATGGTGACTCCACCACCTCCCTGGGCAGCCTGGTCCAGCTTCTGACGACCCTCTCAGGAAAGAACTTCCTCCTTAGCTCTAACCTGAACCTCCCTTGGCACAGCTTGGTGCCGTTTCCCCTTGTTCTATCCCCCATCACCTGGGAGAAGAGACCAGCACCCACCTCTCCACAACCTCCCTTGAGGTAGTTGTAAAGTCACAGTTTTGTAACTGTGACTGATGCATCCTAGTACAGATACACCCTAGTACCTCCTGAAGGACTACAGATAAACCAGTAGAACACCGGTCGAGACCAAGATAAGGAAGCTGAGGAAAAGTTACAGGTCCAGAAAAGACTACGTGGGAGAAAGACTCAGAGTTCATGGAAAGGACCACAAGTGACAACCAGAAACCACCAAAAGACCCCTTGTATGCAAGCGCAGTTTGATCCGGGAAGGAATTGGCAGATAGTTAAATATATTAAATTTAAATTGCTACCAATCATTGTAACTTCGTCTATGTAATCCTGGAACTTCTGTGTATAAATATGCCAAGAAAAGTGCCAGTAGTCATGTGTAGGGTTTGAAGTATTTTCCCGTCGCACCCGATGTCGAATAAAGAATGCCTGCTACTTAATACTACACTGGTGCTGAGTGTTTTTTCTGTTTCCCGATTTCGATGACAGCCTTACTGCGACACCCCTGACACGCCTGACGCGTTAAGACACCGTGTTTCTAACAGCAAAACCAGAGCAACCGTGAGCCCTTTCTTTCCCGGTTTCCTTCAGATCGCGTACCTGGATTTTTTTGCCTAAACGCAGTATGATTTTCCTTCAGGAAACGGAAATAGGCCGTCATGGGCCGCTTCGGGCGCTCGTCCGTACTGATGTCCCTGCAGAGACACTTCTCCACCGAGCCGCCGCCGACGCCGCAGC